ATGAATGGTTAGATAGTGCCGAAAAGTTAAAATCAACACGTCAATTAGCTCATACCTTTAATATGATGTATTATTTTAAATAACAACAAGAATTATGGAAAGATTATTTCGATCTGGGTATGACTGAGTGTATTTGGGCTCCACGAATACTGAAATCGGGAGCAAAACAACATTATACTTGTGTATCATATGGTCGATCCGAGAAGTTTGTCTAACAACGTCAAAAAACTATTCAACATCAAATGAATCGAACAAATCATGAACTACAACAACAATTGATTTATCTACCAGAATGGACTGAAAATGTTCAGCCATCCATCGATTCAAAATTTCTCTCAACAGCTGTTGAAGCAATGGTTAAACATGGTCAATATCGTTTAAATATGGAATTCACACATAAACGTGCAATGTTAAAATTGAATGCTGTTGATCATCGTTTCATTTCAGCAGTATATGCATTGAAACCGACAGAAGAACAGGTTTCACTATATAAACAGATTTATTAGATGCAATAGAAATAAAGAAATTTATTTGGTTAATATTTTAGATTGTACTGATCAAAATGTATTGGCAAGCTATAACCAATGAACAGAAAGCACTGGAAGAAGTGGAAATTCTTCGAAAACGAGTGTCATTAAGACGACTTCCTCAATCATATGATAAAATTCTTAATCAATTCATTGCTCCTATTCAAACAATGCTTTCACATGCTATTCTGCATAAAGATCGACGTACTAGTATGGCATCATGTTGCTTTAAAACAATTACACAATGTGAATTTGATTTGATGGCTATGACGATTGCTATAGCTCAAGATACAGCTCGTGGTTATGCTCAATTGGCAATCGATACGAAAAATAAATTACACCAACTAGATAATAATTCACTACGAACAGCTACTGAACAACTCATCCAAGCGATAGAAATTCGTGGAGAAAATATGAAAAAACGTGCTCAAGAATTATTTCAATATAAAATAATCTCTTTTTTCGAACAGGCTCCGGCGGTAGACAACGGCAAAGGCAACGTATCCGCCGGAGCAATTTAAGCATTTATACAAATATTACTGCCTCATCACCTTTTATTGAAACAGATTTAAATTTATCGGCAATACAAATGTCTATATTTATCAAAGGTCTTAAATATATTCTACCATGTCAAAGTCGATTCTCACGTCAATCTATTGATGATATTGTCAATGAACAATATAAAACATTACGTTCAATTGTTCAAGGTTGTCTTGATGATCATCGTGTGCAGCTTATAGAACCACGTCAGAAAGAAGGTTTTCCTTGCTTGAAACGTATACTCTATGAACTTCAATCAAAAAAAATTACCACATCAACTAAATATTCGTGCTCGACGTGAACAAAAAGTAATACGAAGTATAAGAAAAATTTTACGTCATCGACCTGATATTACTGTTCGTCGAACTGACAAGAGCAAAGTATTTTATGCAGGTAATGTGACTATTTTCAGTGACAAAGCTTCGAGATATATGATCGAAACCGATGCTTATCAAGAGATTTCCAATGAACGTTGTATTTTATCGGAAAATCTCCGATTAGTTACTATGCTTCTAGCTTCTCTCTTGAAAAATCGTGCCATTAATCATGAGCAACATAAGAAAATGTCTCCAAAAATAGATTCATTAGAATTGGCTCATCTTCATTTTATTCCGAAACCACATAAAGTAAGTTTCTTTTTTTTTTCTGTCATTGCCATTTGAATGACATAAATATTGTGTAAGTCTTTGAATCCATTTTTATCTCCATTTTATATAGCCAGATACACCATTACGACCAATTGTAGCAGCTATTCATGCACCAGCAACAGAAATATCCAAATTTCTTAATGATTTATTAGCACCTATATTTCTACGTGTTGCTCGGCAAACTACATTTATTAATGGTATCGATCTGGTCCGAAC